TCAACCTATTTACACAATACCATAATCAGCTCACTCTACACACAAGCAATACCACAAGCAGGCTCGAAACACATGCACCATACGCTTTTCTGGCCCTTCTGTCCTCTGGTATCCCACTTATGGAGACACCAGAGACAAGTTAAAGGCAAACACAGCACAAGCATGTTATTACATTTGCTTGCGCTATTCATAACAAATACAGGGCCTTTTTCCCATGCTAGAGCTCTTCAGCGGGGCTCTGAGCATTGAACCAACATGCTCACTTTGAGAGGGGGCGTGCTTGTCATTAGTGATAACAAAACACATCCTCTCTGGCCCCGCCCCCTTCTCAGGGGGCCGCTGGGATTGAAAAATGCCTGGGCCAAATTTTTTTCCCGGTCCGGCCCTGCACAGGGGCCATAGTCACAGAGTAGGAGGCTGTCAAGTATGCCCCTCCAAGAACCAGTGGCGAGGTTATTTTCGCCACAGTACTCCTTACACACCCCACACACCAATATTCACACAGAAGCCCACAATCTATCCTTTAAACAGGCATCCCTTACACACTACACAGAAACACCCAATGCATCTCTTACACAAACACACAATGCATCCTTTACACCCACAAAAACATACAATGCATCCATGATACACACTTGCATACACACAGAAACACACAATCATTGACACACACACATAGACACACACATACACACAATGCATTGCTTACACACACACAATGCATCCCTTACACACAATGCATCCTACACACACGCACAAACACACACAGAGAAAAACACAATGCATCTCTTACACATACACAAACACGATGCATACCTTACACACACACACACACACACACACACACATAACGCATCGCTGACACATATGCACACACACATATAGAAACACACAATGCATCCTTTATATATATATATACACATAAATACACAATGTATCTCTTACACACACACACACACAAACACACAACGCATCCCTTACACAATACACAAACCTGGCAGATTACCACTTGCCAGAGGTAATAAAAAGGGAGGGATGAAAACTTTAAAAAAGAAAATAAATATTCTTAGAAACTAAGAGCTGCTCCTCTCACAGAAACACACAATGCATATCTTACACAAACACAACGCATACCATACACACACACATACACATACACACACACAAACAGAAACAATGCATCCCTGACACACATGCACACACAGAAACACACAATGCATCCCTTATACACACATAAACAAAGAATGCATCCCTTCAATACACACACTAACACAATGTATCCCTTACACACACACAAAGACAATGCATCCGGTACACACACACAAAGACAATGCATCCGGTACACATACACACACAGTGCATCCCTTACACACATGAAACAGACAATGAAACACACCTTACCTCCAGTTGTGCAAACTGTTCCTTCCTGCAGGCTCTAAGGAAAGTATCATAGTGTTGTTGTGGTAATCTGTAATATTGTTCTGATACACTTCCAGAAGCAGTTCCCAGCAAGTTCCCTGATGATAGAGGGATGGTCAATGAGGGACATCTTTGATCTCCCACCCACTCTCTTGGCCAGCATTCAGGTCATCTCTGCTCTGTCCCTAAACTGACTCCATTATGAGGACTAACTTATTTAGAGTTAGAAGTTACTATTGGGCAAATATTGCACATTTCTTTAGGTTTTTAGACACAAAGTGTAATGGTATTTATTAATTAATGACTTTACATCATAAAGAAAGCATATTTAGTGTAATGCTTTGGGGGCACCACTAGGGGGAGTGTGTAGGAAGACATGTGCTTCTGGCAGTGACATCACAGGCCAGCCTACTTACACTGAATAAAACCAGATGGAGGAGAAAACTCTGTCCCTTTTGCCTGTAACTGACTGAACCTAAGATGTATTACCAGCTCTGACTTAACCCCAGCCAAAGGGCTGGGGCCTTGTAAGTAAAATGAATCCATTGTAGCAATTGTAATAGCCTTTTGTGTAACATGTAGCAACCTTTTGTAAGTAATATGTTGTAGTTTTGTATTGTATCATAATTGTAGTAAATTGACATTCTGCTAGCATCTGTTTATTTGTTATAGTTATATTAAATATACATTTAATATTACAACGTTTTGTGTATTTTCTATCCACATATTCGACCATAATACCATGAATTATAAAAATATTAATGTTGTTCCGTATTGCTTAATTATTATGTATTAAGAGATTAATATTCATATTTAGGTCACGACCACAACACAAAGCTTTTACATTCATTTTTATACATTATTTTGACATTAAAATGTGCAGTTTGATAAATATGTATCCTATATTTTCTATGGGACTTGCATGTAAGCAGACATCTGGTGGTTCTAAATGAGTTATACTCACTCGGTTGAAATTAACCAAACCATATTTCCCTTTAGTAAATATGAGAATTGCAAATCTAGTTAAAATGTGGTTATTTAAAAATGTTGTTAATCAAAAACAAATTCAGACATTTTTTGAACTCTAGACAATTCTCTCTTTAGTAGAATAATGTATTTGCTCCCATCTCCGCAATATCTGCCAACTAAAAACACCCTTTAGGACACATATATTTCTCTTTTTTTCATAGATGTATGAATTTATTATTTATTTAATAAACAGGTGTATAGATAAAAAGGTGAGGACAAGGTGGACACATGTTTATAACAAATAATCCCCTCTCTGACTGGTTTATGGACAGAAATAATCTCATTAAATATGGATTATCCAGATAATTATACTGGCTTTCAAATTTCCTTACTTTTTTAGTTAGGCAGAGCCTTCTGGAAAGACAGATCACACTAGCAGGGTTATTCACTAAAGTGAGAATTGTCAGGAATTCTAAAATGTATTACAACATAACATAACTGGAAACTTCAAGTCACCTATGCTTCAATTTCTACTCCTTTTGGCATTAAATTTAAATTCAGTTTGAATTAACTTTGAAGTTCCAGGGATTCTCACTTTGGTATTTAAACAAATGTTATTCTAGACCAGCAAATCTGAAGGTATACTCCAGAGTGCAAGTGGTTTCTAATTTTTTAACATTTTCATAATGAAATAATTACATTAAAATAATAATAATAAATTAATTAATTTAATTTTTTATATATATATTGATTTATTTAATATAGATAATATACAGTTGTAATCAAAATTATTCAACCACCATTGAAAAACAAGTGTATTGTCAAAATTTACAAACTTTCAGCTGTTTAAAATGAACAAATCAAACAAAAACAATTTGCAAATAGCTCAACACAACGAATGCATTGTTTAGATGATGTACCTAAAAAGCTCAAAACAGAAAAGTATGTTTTTGCAAATTTCATATAAAAGTAGAAACATAGAAACACAGAGACATAGAATGTGACGGCAGATAAGAACCATTCGGACCATCTAGTCTGCCCAATAAAAGTACAGGTGTACAAGGTACGTACAAAATACAAATAAAAATAAAAACCTATGAGAAATATAAAAGATATAAGAATAAAATCGGTAAATACTTGAAAAACACACAAAATCCCCTGTATTACAAATCCACCCTCACCTTGCAGTCTACTCAGCAGATAGCATGTAACTTACACAGACGGGTCTGTGTGTTGGTGAGTGGAGCACTGGATGATGCTATATATGCAGAACCTTGCTGGAGGGGGTAAAGAAGTGTGTATATTCCGTATGCTCGGACGGAGGTGTAGCTCAAATGGTATGGGCAGAGCCACTATAGCAGTTCCGTCGGCGGCACGTAAAAACAAAAAAACTATACTGGGAAGTGTGAGTACGAAAGATCAGAAGGGACAAGCAGATTGGATAAATCAGTAATAGTCCGTTCCTATGCGTTTCATGAGTGTGCACTCACTTCCTCAGGGAGTTTGGACGATCACCGATACAGCATTAAATTATAAACAACCTCCTTATTGGAATAATTATGGTTCCTAAAGCGATAGAGATACCCAAAGTAAAAGGGGGGAGTATTGACTGAACTCAGTTAGAGACATAACATAATAAAATGAAATAATAATAGAAATGTAAATACTGACAGTAAGTAATGCTTATTAAAATACATATAAAACAATAAATATACTGTGTACATAAACATGTGTATATATCATTATCAAATAGGTCAAATATCACGTTTGTTTAAAACATACTGATTTAGTAAGCTGAAACTATATCCAAACATTGTGTATAACAAGTGTATATTGATAAAACAATGTTATTAAGTGAGCTAGCATTGTGTCAGAGCATTGTATCAAAGAGGGGTTTATCAAAGAGGGGTTTATATACAAAAGAGTGGGGCTAACTTAATAAAGTAGTCAATAAGACAGGATACTGAGTTTAAATGCATATATGAGATCTTATAATGTTATCCACTATGTAAGACAAGGTAATACATAGAGAGTGGGCAATGTTTTTCATTTGCCCCCAGGTGTTGGAGAGGGGATAATGGTGCCAGTATGCTCTTCCTATGCATCAGAATATATGCTATACATATACATACATACATACACTATATATATATTTATTTATTTATTTATTTGTGGTCAGAACTTAATTCGTATATGGAAATAGAGAAAAGGGGGGAAGGTTGGTAGTGGTGTGCCGAAACCAACGTACGGTTAGGCCTGTAATAAAGAGGGCCCACCAGAGGTAATGTAATGGTGATAGTAAGGTATTAGAGGGAGTGGTGGGTGGGGTCACTCAAACACAAAACGACATAGGTAAGCAGGAGGGGGGGGGGGGTAGAGTTTATATAGGGAAAAACTCCTCCCACAAATTCAGGCCTATTGCCTTTTACTTGTGGTCAGAACTTAATTCGTTTATGGAAATAGAGAAAAGGGGTGAAGGTTGGTAGTGGTGTGCCAAAACCAATGTACGGGAAGGCCTGTAATAAAGAGGGCAACAGATATTGCAGAAAAACAAACTATATTGCATAATTACAATGCTAAATTGTTTAAAAGCTTTCATGAGTTCTTTCTCTGGTTTTTGGGATATAGGTGCTGTACACAGAGGATTTCCATCTGCCCAGTCTTTTAATGATATGGACTGGTGTGTCTGTACTGGAGGCTGCTGTGGCTGCCCCAATTCTAAAAGAATGACCAGAAAATGAGGTGGGGTTATTTCCCAATCTTAGCAGCAGTGTTCTAACGTGGAATATGACCTTGGAAGTGGTAAGTGGATGTCCGTGAAGCAGTAGTAAGGGAGAGTTAGGTGGAAGACTGTTGCGTGTGGAGAGGAATAAGTTGAGTATCTTCACAGGACACCAGAGGTTATCTGTTGGAAAGAGAAGAATTGTAGTAGGATAGTTTGTGTGGTTGGTTTTAGATGAATGTAATGATATAACGTAGTGATCGTTGTGTTTGACCATGTCCGATAGTTTTTAAAATGTGCTGACATCCGATTGACGGACCACAGTGAACTCTCTGGGTCTGAGGAAGCCGCAGTAGGCAATATAAATGGCTACTTTGATAATAGAGTTAGCCTGGTTATTTAAGGGATTTGTGTCCAACAGGTCTGACATGTTCCTAAATATGGATCCGTCTATGGGTAATCTTTTGGTAGTAGGGGGTCTAACTATTTTGTTGATGCCTTTCCGAATAGTTTTAATGGGGTAAGTGGACAGAAAAGGTGGGTGATTGGGAAAGGTAGT